ACTTGAAGTGTGGATGGCAGCGGTAGTGCCTGCAGCGCGGGCGGGTCGTCCGTGGCCGCCGGGCTGGGTGACAGCGGGCAGTTCGCCTCCCTTCGGCCTGGTTAGGTCTGGCTTCCTCCCATGGGAAACGTGGGATCGGTGTGGTTCTGCTATCAAAAGCACCTGCAACTTTCAAAAAAAAAAAGCTTAAATTGCACGATTTTTTTTCTTGGTGGGTTTTGCTTGGTTTTGGGTTTGTCCCCTTTCCCAAGCTCTACTCGCCCACTGATTTTATTCCCAGTAAGATGGGCAGGCCAGGAGTCTCGAATGCAAGGCTGGCTGTCCTGGTGCCTTCCTGCGCTAAATGCTTCAGCTTAGTTTGGCATTTTGAGCGCAGAGCTTGTGGCAGATATTTCTCTGCAGGCAATTAATTTAAAAAGAGTAACCATCATGACAGGGATTGCAAAATATACGCTACTGAATCTCAGCCCTGCTAATTTGCAGCAATTCATGGGGAAAAACCAGCATACAGTGTTAGCTGACAAGATTTATATCTGACTGATAACAGTTAGCTTCATGCTTCCCTTAGGCAGATGGGGATTATATAGCTCTGCCTTCAAGAAGGCAGGCATTCGTTAATTACATTCATTAATTACATGGACCCTGATGAATGGCATTCTCAAATGTGGAAAAATGCAAAACGTTGAGTCACATGCATTTATTTGTAATAAAAATTCAAAGCCTTTAGGCATGATTTAAAGAAAGATTTAACTGGACTGGCAGCCAGTATAGCAAAGTGTTATGGGAGAGAAGTTCCCAACTTAATGTGCTAGGAAGTGATCAAACTAAACCCAGTACCTAAAGCAGCAGCCAGTGCACAACAAAAATGCTGAACACACAGGAACTTTTACTGAAGATACAGAAAAACAGAGGGAAAATGAAGTCATGATAAATGAAGTTTTAAGGCTTTATTAGTGTATTTTTCCTGTTGTCCCTTTGTTTAGTATTTTTAAGGACTGCCTGCACAGCTCTAGATGGCAAAACTGGACACAATTCTTCTGTTGTGGAAAATTGGCAGGGGTGGGCTGAAGTTGATTTTCTTCATACATTATTCCGCTTTTTCATGAAAACCACCGTGGAGGAGAGAAAACAATCGCAAAATAGAGAGTGCAGTTTCTTGTGTCTGTTTGTACTTGTGCAAGCACAGGCCTTAAGCGCTGCTTTAGTCGTCAGCTTAGGGGGAGGTTCAAAAGCTGCGCCTTGAAGCAAGTAAGTCCGAGATACTGAAATCAGAGAGCAAGATGAAGAAGGAAAGAAGATATGGAAATAGTAAAGGATGGATGAAGGAGATCTGAGCAGGAAGGCAGGAAAACAGTTGCTCTCTCTTCAGGCTAGCGCTTGGTAAGGATACTAAGTTGTTTGGTTTGGGTTTTTTAGATTTTAGAGGTGGCAGCCTGACAAATCTGAGAAAAGTCTTTTCAGGAACTCCTTTAATTGCTGGACTTCAAAAAGACGCTTTATATAAAAGACTCATCACCATTGTAACACTTGTAATTAATGACATCTCTCAAACAACCTACCGATAACTTTTTCTATGCCCATAGGCCCTGCAATGCCAGAGCCCTACTGCAAACTCTTAAGGTTCAATGGAAGAACCTTAAATGGGAGTAGCTTGCTGTGTGTCTGTCTTCAAGGCAGAGAGAGGGACATGTTAAAAGGCTGCACATTTAATTTTTAGCTCTATCAGCTGTCCTGTTAGCTGGTTGATTCTCATGGGATATGTTTATAGCATTCTCCTGAATGGGTCTCTTCATAGCATCTTCCTTAAATACCACTTCTTTCAGATTTCAAAGGCTCTTTGGGCAGGGGCAAGGCATGCATTCATGATCACACAGCAGCACGTTGACCTCCTCTTCCTAAAGCCCTGGTGGTGCATAGCCTTGAAGCCACTGAAACATCACTTACACAGCATTGTTCTCCTTTCAGGGACTGTCATCCATCACTGTGAAAAACAACATCCTGTTTCAAGCTTTCTGTCTCATCACCTGCTGTGCTCATCAGAGAAGCTGTGCTCCAAAGCTCTCCTGGGAGGGTTTGTCCCTGGGGAGAGATGGTCTTCCACGGCTGGAAGTGGCTCCTCCTCTTGGGCAGGCAAAACACCTTTGCCAAGGCTTGGAGGAACAGGAGGGGAGACCCATCTCTGTGCTGGAAGCGTTGCTGCCATTGGAGTGCTGGCAAGTCTCTGGACCCCGAGGTGAGAGCATTTTTGGAGGAGAACACAGAGGTAACCAGCAGTGGGCACCTCACGCCAGAGATACGACTGCGCCTCCTCACCCCTCGCTGCAGGTTCTGGAGGGAAAAACCTGACCTGTGGCCTTATGGGGACCCATTCTGGGCAATTTACTGGCCAGGAGGCCAAGCCCTCTCCAGGTATGCAGCATGCATTGGCCAAGTTGATAAGTCCACTGCTGTGGGCCAGGATTTCAGACCTGGCTCTGCTTGTAGTGATTCCTAGCAATGTGTATTTGCCTTGTATGAGAGCACATCATCCATACTCCTCTCTGCTTGTACAGGAGAGATGCAATCTCAGCAAAGTTTCAGTGGCTGCTGCATACAGAATAACTTATGGCTCTTAGATTGAAATCTGCTGTCTTCAGTGGCGATCCACGTGTTGACAAAGGGGCTGAATTTGGATCTGTGGAAGGGCTGTGCAGTTGCCATCAAAGCCTAGTGAGGTGTTTAATTCATTGTTGCTCCAAACAGGAAGATTGCTATTTAGTTGTAACGCAAAGGGTTTTTTTTTTCTTTTGTCAGAGACAGACAGGAGTGTAGATGTGTGTACGGCCTGTTGGGATAAGTAGGTTTATGCTGATGCGCTTGGAGTGCTGGTTAGCCTGAATCATTCTCCTCATTTAGAGTTTCAGAAGCCGTATTGTGGCTGTCTTTTAGTCACGTTAGAAGCCACATTTTTATTTTGGCCACTTAAAGTCAAAATGCCTTTCATGTTCCTGTTTCCCAGAGACTAGTTAAGAGTTCTTTTATTCTGCAAAATCAAATCTCTCACTTTGAACAGCAGAAAAAGTTCATAATTGTTACAGCAAAGAAAAAGCTGTCAGACATTCCCCACGTAGATGAAAGGGAAGGATCTGAACTGGGGCTTTGCTGTTTTTCTGCAAGAAAGCGTCAATAGGAAAGCATCTTTGGCCAGGAAAAAGATGAATCTTACAGTTAAATTGAGTTGATTAGCCTCCCATGTAGATGTGAAATAGAGTGCTCCTAAACATTTCATAATTAAATTAGGTAAGGTAATTTCTACATTTTGTTACTGTGTGATTCATGTGCCCAGATATTTGGGTAGCAATAATAATTATCTGGCATTTCACCACTTTATTGTTTACGCACCTGTTTGATGTCAGGATGTACATCAGAATGTCAGAAATTAGCTGCATTATCTGGAAAAGGAAAAAGGAAAAGGGAGCATGAAAACATGCTGCTTCCATAACTGTGCTCGTTTTACAGCTGGCATTTCCACATCAGGAGTCTCCTATTTCAAGCTATTCCTCTTGGTGTAACCCCAGATCCCTCATTAACCCAGCACGGCAGACAGCAGTCTCCAACAGCAGTGAAACGCGCTGTGTGTGTGCCAGGAGATACAGTCCGTTCCAGCTGTCCTAAGTCACCACAATCATTAGCGGCAACTTGAGAACCACTCAGCTGGAAACAAGGGACCTGCAGCGTTAGGTCAGATCCTGCTCTATGCAAGTTACTGGAAGGCACTGCAAACCCAAGCACAGTCCCTGGAAAGGGGAGCACTTTCTGTGGAGGTTCCACCTTGTCCTCTGCCCTGTTGGTAAACTCGGGGCAGTCCTCAGAGGAGTGATGGCCTCAGGGACAGGGTTGCCAAACAGCTGAGTTGCTGAGCCTCTCCATAAATACCCTGCCCTGGTGCCCTCAGGAAAGAGAGCATCTGTAGAGCTTCAAAGTACCAAAAACGCTGCAACATCATGGTAACAGTGTAGCAATGCTGGGTGCCAGACCTCAGAGGACAAGGTGATTTTAAGTAAAACAGCCAGCTTCACTGGCTGGATTCATAACCACAAACTGAAAAACACCAAGCTATGCATGTCCAGGCTGTCTGGTAGGGTTCCTTGTGATGACATGTAGGACAAGAGGCATGAGATGTCACGGCCTCCTCATGTCTCCTGGGTTTCTGATCTGGGTATTTTCTATCTTTGGTCCTGGTCTTGACCTTCCTGCTATGGACTCGTAATGGCTTGAACTGTTTAGTTTGAGGGTAGGTTGTCTTTTGTTCTCCCAGTCTGGGCTGCTGGGAATCTGTATTCATATGCTGGTATCTAGGTGCCATTAACATTTGATGCTTTCATCTGGCCTCCTTCTGCCACCCGTGCTAGCGCATGTAGGCTCAGACATTCCCATCCACGTGTGCCATTTACACCAATCTCAACATTTCCATTTCAGCTCTCTGCATTGGAACCCACCTGCAAAAGCTGTGCTTACCAGTAGCCAAGCGTAGCCTTCTGTACCATAAGACAAGACAGATGTAGAATGCTTTCCTGTTTCTACCTTAACAGAAGTTATGGGAATTGATAGTAAATATATGGCAATTTGCAGTGATTTATGTCATCTAGGGCTTTTCCCCCTGTCACACATTCATGACTGGGCTGAGCCATGGTACTGCAGGCAACAAGAGTTAGAGATTTAGGCACTGGAGTTTGAAAATTATGCTTTCAGTTACACTTGAACAAGTTTTCTAAATGGACTTGCCCTTTCAAAAACCGTATAATCAATAGAACAGAGATTCTTAGGCACTTCTTCTTCCCTTTGCCAAAGATTGACTTTCAAGGCAATTGCTGAAGTTCTGAACCCACAGTAATGGCTGTACGATTTCTAGTGTTTAACAATAACTGCTGCTTGCCTCCTGTCAGTTCCTCTTCATTTCCAGCACAGAGGTTTTTGCTTGCCGATTGCTCTTGGTAGGTGCCAGCAACTAGATGCAGATACTCTTTCTGCTCACTGCTGTTCTAATTTTCTTGTTTTTACTCAGGAACATTAAGCAGATTAGAATGTTTTGCATCTGTGTCTGCATGGCTCAGGAAAAGAAAGAGGAGAAATTCCTCTTCTTCCAAGCAGTTGCATAAGCAGTATTTTAGGGCAATAGGTAGGCCTTGTCTTTTGATGGGTGCAGTATTCACTGCCACAACATCTTCATGTTTCTTCAGTCAGATTGCTTTTGATTCTACAAATCCTTACTTTCCTCCTGCTGGTGCCAAGCACTTCAGTCACCTTGCAGTTTGTGTCTGTTTATTAGATAAGCTTGCCTGTCAGAGAAGGAGCTGGTTGAAATGAAGTGTTGCTTACTTGACTGGATTTCTTTTTGTCTGAAGCTAGGGGGAGGAGTAAGGGAGAAAGATGATGGTTCTTGATTTTTGTATCAGCAGTGACAAATAAGGAGCTGTGTACCAGCTGCACATGTGGAACAATGTTTTTAAGATATCATGCTTTATTGCAGGTATGACAAGAACTTTCACAAGTAATGTGAAACTGAGAAATTTGTGTAATCTTGTTCACTGCTTTAACAGTTTCTCTTTTCAGGTATATTTTAGATAATCCACGGGTTGTTAAAGGACGATCGGTTTTGGATCTTGGAAGTGGCTGTGGAGCAACAGCAATAGCTGCTGTGATGAGTGGTGCATCTCAAGTCCTTGCTAATGACATTGACCCTAGTAAGGCTTTTTTTATCTCTATGTAAATATATTTAATAATTTTTAAAGCACATTTAACACAGACTTTTCTTTGCTCCATTTGGGAGAAATTCAGGTTCCAATCAGATTTCTGAGAATGCTAAAAAGATGAGGGGATTTTGCCAGTATTAGAAGCTGGGTTGTACCAGCCTCTAGCACCAAGTGTATGTCTGTAGCTCCTTAGAATGAACAAATAGCAAAGTTTCTATCAAGTGTTGCTGCTACACTATCATGGCTGGTTTAGGAGAGAACTCCAAGCGCAGGTGGCAAGTTGGCTTCTCTGTAGGACCATAGCATTTTCCTGCACTTTCATATATTGGGACCTAGATTCTGCCTTTCCCCCCTCTTAGACTTTGTTTTCTGCAATTGACATATGAATTCAGTTTATTCATAATTAATTGCTTATTGGTTAGGGAGGAATTATATCCATAGATTAAGGCAGTTGGATATTCTGGTTTGATTCCATGATTGGTTTCCATTGGTATCCATTCCAGGAATGGTTCTTCTCCATGTCATGGTGCAATGAGGATAAAATTCTATCACCTTGTGCCAGATTTTGACCCATAATGAAAACTGTGGAAGTTGCTAGATAGGATAAACAAAAATATTTAAGAGATGAAACTGAAAAACGTGTCAAGGATATTTTTAAGGGGGCTGAATGGGAGAATCCTAAAATGTAACCTTCATTTTACTTTGGCTTTTCTTCAGTTGCAGGAATGGCGATGATCTTGAACTGTGAACTGAACCACCTGAATCCCTTCCCCATCACCATTAAGAACATCATTAATTCAGAGGCTGGCAACTGGGACCTCATTGTTCTAGGAGATATGTTTTATGATGAACAACTTGCCGATGGTCTGCATCACTGGCTGAGGAAATGCATCAGGATACAGCAAACTGAAGTGCTGATTGGTGACCCTGGCAGGCATCAGTTTTTAAGCCACAGCATTCGCAGTCAGTTGCACAAAGTTATAGAATATTCCCTTCCCGAGTATACTAGACAAGAAAACAATGGATTAACATCAAGTATCGTCTGGAGTTATCAGCCCTCAAATAGCTGAGAAAACTGTTAATGCTGGCTTTCTAATGAATTGTCTCACTTTGCTGGCTATTTTATTGGAAATATGTAAAATGAAAATGGGAATTAAACATGGAGCATATCTGTGATGCAAAGTAAATTACTGTACCTTCACTGTACTGATTTCAGTCATGCTCACTGAGGCTTTTGGTCCATTTGAGGTAAAAACTACATGCAAACTGTATTCAAAGGAGCCTGCACTAAAGTGCAAATCCAAAGACAAGTTACATGTAAGAGTTTGCATGCTTGATGTTTTTCATGTATATTCATGTCTTGCTCTCTGACACTGGACATCCAGCATACTGCTGTGGAGAGAAGGCAGTGGCTGAAAGATTACTGCACAGCTTTCACAGACTTCTGCATCTTATTTCCAGAGAAAATTATTGCTATCCTTCATAAAACTTCCTGCTAGATTATTATCTCATACTATGCTCAACTTAAAAGTGCCTTGCCTTTTTTCTGGATCTCTCTTATGAATGTCAAAGTAACTAATCTGAATCTCCTCCTCTCCCCTCTCTATAATAAAAAAATTACTCCTCCTTGAAGCTGCCGGGCTGATAATTTAGCTTCTTGAAGTCTAGCCAAAGTAAAAGGTTTTACTAAGTGGAAAGTGACTAAATAGTAACAGCTATAGAGTAACTTTATTCCTAAGAGCATAGGGTCAAATTATCTACATTCCCTAACTCTGCAGGGGTAAAAAGGCAATCTATCGTCATGGGAAGCTCATGAGGGATGAAGAAATCTCTCCTGTGATGTTTCTGAACAGAAGGTAACCAAATAAAAACAGGGAGTAAACATTGGATGTAATTAATTATTTTTCTCTTCTCTTGATATCCTCGACAGCAAGCTCCAGAAAAATTCTCAGCTGCATCTGTCAAGGAAGAACCCTCTGAGGGTTAAAAAATATATAAAATTGATCCACAGGTAAGAGGCTGTAAATGCAGCCATTTGAAGAAGAAACCAATGTTTTCAGAGCAGTCTTACAGGAACTATTGCCTTTAGCAGGTAACTATGGAACAAGCAGTGGTGGGGAACTATCAACTGCAGAATGGAACACAAAGCACCTACAACTATCCAAATACCAGGTCATGTGGTAGAAGCTTATAAACTTGAAAAAGTATGTGCTTGTCACTCAGAAAACCATGGTGTTCAAGAAGTAGGAGGAGGTTTAAGAGCACATATGGATGTTAAATTATTTGTTTTATGACAGTGTACAAGTTTTAAGAACTATCCAAACAGAAGACTTGCAAACTTTAATCTTCAGAACAAAATGTACATGTTCTGCAATGCTCACCCAACAATTTACAAGAATAACAATATCCAAACAATACAGGATATGAAGTGGTAAGTGCATATATGATGTTCTTCTCCCACTTCACCCACTGCTTGTAAACATCTGTTGAAAGTTACTGTGGTTTAACCTGAATTAAAAAAAATATTCCAGTAGTTATCCTAGCAATAACCCCATAAAAGAGCAGACTCAAGCTCTGACAGTGAAGGGTTTAACGTGGCTTAGGTTAAACTTTCAATCCTAAAAATACAGTGTTAATTCATTGCAGTGTTGTACAGATTTTTAAACACAAGGTGAGGATATACTACTAAGTTACACATTTACAAGAGGCTATAGGAGAACACGGTAAATTTACATGCACGTTTAAGGACACAGTGTAAACTGCAGTAAGAGTTAGAGATTTAGACACTCAAATTTTAAAATTATGCTTTCAGTTACACTTGAACTCAAGTTTTCTAAACGTATTTGCTCTTCCATAAACCATATAATCAACAGAAGAACAGAGATTATTGTTAGACATCAGAACATCCTTTAATATTTCTGGATGCAACATATATTATATTATTATCTTCCATGCAATTTGACCTGAATTTTAAATAGATTAGTAAAAGACTGGTTTATTTTTGCAACACCTAAAATAAGCATGACTATGACAAGTGTTAAATTATAAAGTAAACATATTCCTTATGGTTGTCTAAAGTCATGGGTTTCTACATGTCACCAGATCCATGTAAGACCACTCTAGCTAAACTCCGATACTTCCAGATGCAGACTATCAACACAGTGTGCTATCTGCCCTGTATAACTCTAAAACTGCTAGCATTTCAAACAGTTTATTGTAGAAATCATAGAAGTCTCACTAGAGGTTACACTTTTTCAAGAAAGCGCATGAACATGACATAACTGATGAAACCATTGCTCCATCATGTCATAAACTCATTCTACACTTCTAATTATTTTTTTCTTTAATATTACAACAACTGAACAACATATAAATGGTTGTTATTTTCAGCTTCTGGAGGCCACTGGAGATACAAGAAATGGCAAACAGCAGAACACATACTCTGCTGAACTCTACCATCCTGAGATTCATGTATTCAAACGCTAGATTTGGTCCTATTTCACTCACAGCTAGCTTATGAGGAACATGTTTTGTTCCCTAAAAGGATTTTCATGCAGGAATGTAGGAAAAAGCCACAGCAAATAAGTATTTGCCCATATACAAGGTTCTTTTATTGGTCATAGCTTCTACTCTGAAATTTGTTAAGTCACCACAGTAATTTCAAAACTGAGTTTATATGTTCACAGACTATACTTTTGGATGTGTAAAAATCCATCAAGTATTTGATGGTAAATAAAAACAGAAACCTGCAGCATCAGTGATACCAAAAGTAAGGTACCTACAGTTTTTCCTCCAGACCTAGCAAAAGTACATGGTGAGAGAAGACTGTTTGTTACTGCTTAAAATACATTTGTGTTGCTGTTAATGCCACCTCCACTCACCAGTACTGTCTGTTGACTTTTGTCAGATTAAAGTGCCAACTTTGCAGGCATTTCTGCATAAGTGTTAATACTATGTTTGGGCTCAGTACTTTTAGTTACAACTACCCTCTCAGACTACAAACTCAGAACAGAGACTTACTTAAATTGGGATGCACACGTAGCTAAGATGCTAAAAGATGCTAAGTAGTAGCCAAATCTGATACTTCCAGGAGGCTGAGCGATGACAGCGTAGTATTAATTATAGTTTAACTTTCCTTTTAATGAAGTATGATCAGGAATGCAAAGAGAGACAGGGCTCTGAGTAGAGACAATGGGAAAGCTGAGACTCACAGGCAAGGACAGGAATGGCGATGGAGACCTCTAGTGGGAACAAGGAGGGACGCAACCTGGTGGTACAAGTCACTGGCTATTTCTCCAAGGTGCTTGTTTTTTTGAAAGAGCTCTCCCATCTGTAAACTTTACACTCATATGTACACGATAAATAATCAGTAAACAGTCCATGTTACTTGCTTCATTTTTTTGGATATGGCTAGCTGCTCTAAAAAGTCGCGGGAACGATCTGCAAAAGAACCAAGGAATTTCTTGTTATTCATTCAGAATATATATAGGTGGTGCTTAGAAATTAGGTAAACAGCAAAATAATTCACTGATATATCTGCATTTATGCTTATCTTGGTACTACAATATCACACTTCAGATATACCTGTGTAATCCAAAACTACTCAGTTCCTTCTCCAATCCTACAAGTGTAAAGCATCACCAACCACCTGAACTTAAAAAACTCAAGATAGATCATAACCTCTGGGTTTTTTTTGGGCTGACCAGTCTTACTCTATTCCACTGTTTCTTGAATGGATGCTGTTCCGTATGTTTGGAATAGAGTAGGGGTTTAGGACATAAACATATTTTTCTGAAGTCTTGTCATCATCAACTTTGGGTCTTCATCAGCACGTTAAAGGGGGAAGAAAAAGGAAAGAAAAAAAAATTTCAAACTCCAAAACTACAACAATAACAACAAAAATCCTTCTCTGAAGATTGCCATATTTCAAAGAAAAACCTCTCACCTTGCTTTGAAAATCTCAGTGTATGATTTTTATTTTATCTAGTAAGTTTTATCTGTTTGGGATTATTTAAAAAGTATAGCATGCTTTCCCAGAGAGTAAGATACTCTCAGGAAGTAATTACTTTTTACTCCCTGCATGATTTGACCTACCTGTTATCAACGGGCAACCATGGAACAGAAAAATGTTTATCTCCGGACAACAAGTGAGGACTGCTTCCACAGCAACATCAGTCAGATTCACACAGCGTTCCATGTGGATCTCCTGTTACGGAAAGAGCAGCAATAAAAGCTGTCAGAGCACCCATAGTTTTGGAGGCAGAGTTCTCCTTTGCTCAATCATTTTCAAAGATCCTCACTCAGATGAAATTATGACCTACTACTCCTCTGCGCATTGACCCCATATCTGGTCCTGTACGGACCAGGAAAACACCCTCAGGAAAAAATAAGACAGCTTTTCTGTGAAGAGTCAAAACTAAAAACATAAAGCTGAGTTTTCCCAAAACACCTGTATTGTTCAAGACAACTGAGAAAACTCTTCAATGAGATGCTATAGTGTTTGAATCCCATCAGTCTTCCTATGACACACATTCTCCTAACAATTTGTGGTCCCGAAGAACAGAACCCAAACTGAATTCTACGGTTTCCCAAAAGAGGCAGGACTCATGATTCTCTCCTGAAGTTCCTAATATGCATCTGTCTGTCTGTCTAGCTATCTATCTGTCTACACAGTTCCCAAAAGAAGTCTAAGAACTTCTTCCAAGATTAGACTACAACCTGTTCTCCATTTCTCTAGTTGTATAACTAGTACCTATGTATGTGCTAGCGAAAGAATAAATTCAGAATACATTCAAAGATTAATACCAACAACTCTTCCACCTCTAAACTGCCTTACATATCAATAAATATAACACACAAGAAGAAATGCAGAAAATAGACTATCAAATCTAATGAAAATAGAATTTGGGAAAATGTGCTTTGGGGATGCTGGGGTAAAAATAAAAAACCTCATTGTTTTATT